TTTTTTTTTTTTTTTTTTCTTTTTCTGAAAATACGAAATTCATTACGCTATTGCGCTGGACATAAATTTTTTTAGGTTGAATATTCGGCCTAATGGGCTCCTCTGGTTCTAAGCCCGCAATGAGAGGAATGAAAAAGACTCAATTTTTTCTTTTAGTATATAAAGCGAGGAAAATTGCTTTACAGTACATCCACTAGGTTTTTATTGAAGATAATTTAAAATTTATATAAGTTAAAATATTTTAATAAAATTTCTTATAGTTTATTAGAAATTTTTATAATATCTATAATATCCTTTTTAAATGTAATAGTTAAAATATTAGATTTTTATTAATATTAATTAAACAAATTATCATAAAATTAACCGATAACAATTATAACTCTCTTTTTTCTATCATATTAAATAAAAAAACTTAAAATTAAAAACTAAAATCATACTAAAAAAAACATTTATTCTATCACATATACCAATGATAAAACAAAAAAAGGAAAATGATAGGCTTACCCAATTTATCCACGTACTTCGTTACACCCTTCAATTTCTGTTATTTTTCGTTAATTACACTTAACTCCGTTATCATCTTTTTCATCCATTATCTTCTTCCTCTTTCTTTCTTCTTCTTTTTTTTTTTCTCTCTCTCTCGGTCTGGGTTCTCGAAGAACCCAAGTCGAGTTCTCCAAGAGAACTCGAGAGAAAAAAAAAGAAAATGGGAAAAGGTGGGAACATGGTAGAGGACTAGCAGTTGTCTTGTAGATTATTAGGATAACGATATAGGTGAGAAGGAAGATGGATCTGGTGAGGATGGAAAGGGTTGGGTGAGTCGGGAGACCGTCAATATATATAGCGAAAACTGTTAAAGTGTGTAACAAAAGTGTGTAACGGGTGGTGTGCATGAATCAATGTCCAAAAAAAAAAATCATACTAATTAAAACTTTATTCTATCACATGTACCATTGATAAAAAGAAAAAAAAATCTCTATATTTGAAAATAATAGGGGACTGTGAAGGACAGAGGGAAGAGAGAGAAGATGAAAAGAGGAGATAGAGAGATGACAGATAATAAGGGTAATAAAGATTTCTAAGAAAAATTAAAAACCTCTTATTAAAATTCGACAAAATAAATTACGAGATTGAACCAGTTCTTCAAACTTAATGGTTCGTCTTCAAATTTTAATATTTGAGTTGAATTAGCTTAAAATTCCACTTCCGCCAATCACTTCAAAAAAATTCCCCTTTTCTCATAATTCCCTCATTTAAAAAAAAATTACGAGATGGAAGGAAATTAGTGCATTTTAATAATTAAAATATTATAAATAATAATTAAAAGATTAAAAGATTATTAATAAATTAATATACACAAATATTTATTAAGAGTATATAAATGATTTCACAAAAAAGTTTGATATATAAAGTGTTTGGAACTTTTACCTTTTCATAAATTATAAATTTTATCTTACTAGGTAAATATATCCTAATAAATACACACTAACCTATACCCTAATAACATATTAGAAAACTCCTAACATTAAAAATAACCATGTTCTGGGTTATTTTTAGTGATTGAGAATGTATATCAGTGAATGCTGGTAGTGCTTGTAACAAACATCATGTTGAGCTGAATGAACCAATGTTGAGCTGATATTTGATGATCTCGTGGTAATTATATGTTTAAATTTCTCAGGGGATCCCTTATAACAAACATCATGTGGAGGAACTTAATCATACAGGTGCCTTGTTCATTTTATTTTTCTGAGATGTTAAATCTCATTATAACACAAGTATATAGTAACCTTTCTGCATCAATTGTTTGTACTATCTCTTACATTTCATTGCAGGCTCTTTATCCAAATACTATCCTTCTCGTTCTCAACTTTGGGGGCCTGTCCATTCTTCATTTGACGCATGATGCTAGGGAACACGCAGTTGAAGTGAAGAATACGTTGATATTCAACGCCTTTGTCATGTGTCAAAGTGAGTATGCTACATGGTCTGAAATTGTGGGGTGGAAATTTGGATTTAAGATGATCCATTTCATCTGCACAGTTGATTGGATTAGATAAGTTATTATTTCAACATCTTAAAGTTCTAGGGTATTTCGGTCTAAAACAGGAAATGCTAGGGTAAAAATGAATGCCATAAACAAGCCCTTCTTAAGTTTCTATAAAATGCATGTTTGGCATTTTCCAGTATTAATTTCTCTTTTTTATTTGGAGTTTAATTTTGCTACGTGTTCAAATTACAGATTTTCAATGAGTTTAATTCTAGAATTCTGATGAAGTCAACATCTTCGGTCTTTAGAAGAGTAACCTTTTTTTTTTTTTTAACATGTTTACAAGACTGGATTCGTATCGTTGCTTAGGGAAGAACAATGCACTTCAACGTGATTGAGTCCGAAAGCTCAAGTGCTTAGAGGAGTGACTAAAAACTACCTTTTTATGGGAATAGTTGGATTCACCTTTGTACTTCAGGTGAAAAGTGATTGGTGCTATCATTTTATATATATATATATATATATACTATGGTCTTTGTGAATTGTGCATGTGTTGGTGAGGGGATGGATGATATGTTTTCCTGGACGACTAACAGTGCTAGTGGTAACCCTTTGATAGATAATCATCATTCAGTTTCTTGGAAAGTTTACCTCAACAGTGCGACTTGACTGGAAGCTATGGCTTGCATCTCTGGGCATCGGCCTTTTCAGGTTGGTATTCTGTTTTACGCCGTAGATATGCTTTGACACCTTCTGGGTTGTTATTTTAATGTCTTAAACTCGTATTGGTACACAACTGGGTGATCAAATCAAAGGTCTTGTTTTAGAAAAAATATTATTTCTTGTTTGGAACTATCTGATTAAGATCCTATCTTGAAATTCAAGTACTACAAACTCACCTGGCTATGATTATTTTTTGACAGCCGGCCTCTTGCGGTAGTTGGAAAATTAATTTCTGTTCCCAACACTCCATTTGGAGTGTGCTTGACTAAACCATGTGGGCGATGTGTTAGAGATCGCATTAATTAACTTCCAACTAGACTCGACAGACAGGTCAGATTTGGTGGTTTGGATGGAATTATCTCGGATATCAGGTTTTCTAAATTAAGTCATTTTAAGTGTTGTGTTAAAAAAAAGTAGATCCATGACTCACTCACATAAATTTTAAATTTGATCAGGTGGATTTAATTTTTTTAAAATTAAAATTAAAAATTTTTCATTTTTTTATTTTTTTAATAGAATTTAATACTAATTAACTATTCAATTGAAAAACTTTATTAAATGCTAATTTTCATTTCATGATTCAATTTTCATTCCAACCTCATTAAAAGAAAAGGGAAAGATTACTGATTACATCAGTAGAATTAAAATATATGTCAAGTATATAATACCTATATAATATTTAGAATTTATAATTTCACAAAGGTAATAACTTTTATTAAAAGAAGAGATAAAAAGAAATTAGAATTCAAAGGACAAATCCAACATATATGTTAATATTTGGTACTTATTCAATATTTATAAGAGTATTATATAAAAAATATAACTCTATTCAATATTAAAATTCAAAAAACAAATCCAAAATATGTCTAAATAAATAGAAGAAGAAACTAGATTAGGATTGATTTTTATTAACTAGGAATTAATTATTAACTAGGAATTAATTATTAACTAAGAATAAGTTAGTAGCTAAGAACTAATCTTGATGTTCTTGTCTTTGTGGTTCTAATGGCGATGAAGATATCTGAAACACAGTGTTTTGATTTTCAATAGGCATTCTTGCTTCCTATTGTTAAAAAAAAAAAATCTTTTTAACAATGCCACGTGATGCAACTCACTATGTGCTACATAATCTAATTTCTTACGAGAGTGCCACTAAAGAGAAGGATCAAAGAGCTTGAGATGAAGGGGAGAGGGAGTGTGGAAAAGATGAAAAGTTGAGAGAAAGTGAGATTCATAAGAGATTAGGGTTTGGATATTCTATTTATTTCTACTTTTAAGAATAAAAAATAAAAAATAAAAAATAAAATTTTAAGTAATTTTATAAAAAATAAATAAATAAAAAAGGTCTAGGTCATTTCAAGTGACCAAACCTATTTGGGTTCAGATAATTTCAGTTTGGGTTATTTTGGATTTCGCATTAACATATAAGACCTATGACTCAATCCAAAATAGATGGATTGAATCGAATTTTTGGATTGGATCCAATTTTACCAAGTCTACTTCCAACAATAAATAAGTTTGATGCCTGTGATATGTGATAAAAACTGATAAATGAAAATGGCATAGGCCATGTTACTAACCTGTTCACACATCATTTATGGACAGTTATTTCCTATTCTAACATATGGAATGTTTAAGCAGTATAATTCTAAATTAAATCATTTATGTCAACAATTGAATTTTTTTCCTTGTTGGAATGATTTACCTAGATCTCACTAGAGTTGATAGTTTTTCTTGCGAACTTGTGGGATAGAGATTGACAATTTGGAGTCCTTATTTGAAAAAGATGACCCTGTTTTTATAAATATTTTACATTAATGTTGCACCGGAGATTGTGGCTCAATTGTAAGCTACATGTTTCTAAGCCTAAAGTTTTGAGTTTGAATTCCCCCTCTCCATATATGGCGGAAAACTGTTCTGTTGTTTGGTTTCTACCAAAGAAAGAGATTCCAATTGTATTGTGACGTTTGCTGAACAGAATATCGCAAGATACCTCTATCCTTTCATTCAACTTAAAGTTTGCATTCTTCTTTCAACAGCATACGGTTGGGTGAATGGCATTGCGTTTAGCTGTAGTTTTTGTGGCTTTAGCTTCTAATCCTTAGGAACTGAAAACAGCTTTTAGAAAAGCCAAAAGCACTTTTCAGAAATTTTCATTTGGACCGGACATGAGAGAGCAAAAGCATTGGAGTGTTGTATAAGGATAATCATTATGTAATTATATGTTCTCGCTTTTGGCAACGTGTTATGTCCTTGCTTTGCTGATACTTCTTTTATTTCTTGTTTTTCAACGATCAGGTGGAAAACATGGCAGGATGTTGAGAAATTAAAACAGGTCCTAAGAAGTTATGTGGTGAGATTTTAATGGTAAAGGAATACAATCTGGAGAAAATAACTAAAAAGGAAAAAAAAAAAAAGTAATATTTTACCTTCCCATTCTTCCTACCCACTTATAGTGTCTTGAGAAAGCTATAGCTATCAAGTTGGTGAATGGGAGTAAGCAATAAGAGTGATCTTCAACGTAATAGATAAGGATGTTGATTGTCAATTTGTCATGCGCAATTGGAAGATGGCTCTTCCTATAATTCCTTGCTAATGCAATGGGGAGTGCGACTCTTTTGGCTTGAACAAGAACAACTTTTACTTTGTATGATTTGGTTTGTTTTGCATTAGTATTCATGAAAGGGAAAATACTAAAAATCGGGTTGTAAAACTACCTGTTAATATCCATTAATAAATTTTTCTTACATGTTAATTTATTAAAAATATTTAATTTTTTTTTATTTTAATCCTATTATTATCTCATAAAGTCTTCTTTTCATATTATTCACACTCATTATAATTAAAAATAAACAAATATCAATACAAAATCATGAATATTCTACTTTTCATATGATAAATTGATAATGGGTAAATATCAACACAAAATCATAAATATTCTACTTTCCACATGTTAAAATTAAAAATAGACAAATATCAATACATAGTTATAAATATTCGAGATGTTAAAATTAAGCAAAACTCTATATCAAACTCTCAAATTTATCTAGATTCTCATTTTAACCCTTCAACTTATATTGAAGCAATTAATAAGTCCCTCTAGATTCTCAATTTAACTCTTAAACTTTTATTAAAGCAATTAACAAGCCCCTGAATTTGACAAATTTGGCAATTTAACCTTTTTCCTATTGTGTTTTTGTATTTTACTTGTATGAATAATGTCAATATCTACTATGTAAGAAATGACATGTCCATACCTTACCTATACAAGGTAAAAACAAGTATTAATTAAGTTTACTTAAAAAAAAAAAGGGGTTAAATTCTTTTTATTATCAAATTTAAGAGTTTATTTGAGACAATTAGTAACATATTCAAAGCTGAATTGCGATTATAATATAATGATAAAATATTTTATAATTTACACTTTTTTTAATTTTAAGGCATTAACTTTTAAGTAAAAAAAATCCCTTAATATTAAATTTTTTATTCAAAATTTCTCATTTTATAAAATAAAACAATCTAAATAGTAAAACAGCAGAATCTTAACAGAATCTCGACTGATCTCTTTATCTTCTCTTTTTCTACCTCCATTCTTTTTCGTCGTCCCTTTGATTTTGGGTTAAAGCCAACTATAATCCTCGTACTTTGTAAAAATATTCATTAGCATCCCTCTACTACACTTTTTTTTGTTCAATGTCATCCTTAATTGGATGCCATCCATTTTGCCGTTGACTTTGACAATTAATTGCTCAACGATCAAACATTCAATTTTTATTTATGGATTTTTTT